AACTTTTAAAAGTGCAAACTTTTAAAAAGTTATGTTACAGGCTTTAATGTGAATTTATAGTGGTTTTTACTTGCATAATGCTGACGATTTTGTTGCCACCCAGTGGAAAACTGCTGCTGCTTCACTGTACAGAATCGATTGGTGTTTCATGATCAGAACTAAATTTGGGAGTTTATAAATAACATCCAGAGTCTCCAGCTTCAGTACCTGAGCTTAGGAGGTTATCATGTTTAGTTTCTCAAGTTATAACTAAATATACTTCCTTTCATAACAGATGCATCACTTAGGAAGTTCCTTACTGGTGCTATCTAGCTTCTGCTTGCCCTTGTGCATATACAGGTATTTGTGGAGCCGAATGAAACAGATTCTTTGTATTTGGTCTTAAATGTTAACCCTCTTTTCCAGAAGAGTAATTTAAAAAAAAGTCATTTAAATGCTTTGGTGAGTGGTATTAACCCTCAAGGGAGTGCCAGTGGGAATTCGAAGAGAAGAGGGAGAGCCTGGAGTTTGGTAATCAGTCTTCATTGTCAGAAAGAATGTAGCCCTCCGTATTATGGTAGTGAGCAGAAGCTCAGGAGCATGCTGTTAGCATAATGATATAACTGATGTTGGCAATATTGGGAGGAAAGGTATTTTTTTCCTCATGATTCTCATAAAAATATCAGTTTTATCTGGCAATTCAGTAGTGTTCTTTGGCATAAGGTTAAGTTTAGTCTTAATATACTGCAAGTCCTGCAATTTCTCTAAGCCCTCCTGTCCCTTCAGGGGAAAAATTAAATAATTTCATTATTTCAAGGTTGAAGAGGAGGCTTATTTCTCTGCTACAGTCTTTGTGAGAAGAAGAAAGCTAATTTCCAGAGGTAGAGAACGGGAACCATGACAAGAGGCCAATACACAAATGTATTTGTGCTTTGTCTTCAAATTGCTTTCATCTATCCTTTTGATGGCTGGCTGTGTCAACAGGTGGTATAATTGTTTTGAGAACAGGCATATACAGCACAGGGACTTGCAGTTATGATGGATGGGTAATTGGAGTGGAAAAAGATACACTGAAGTGAAAGTGGGGTTTAAAGTTGTTCTAGGTCTACTTGAAAGATTAATTACAGAAGATACAAAAAATTAGCCCAGAGGCAGAAAAGGTGTGAGGGAGAGAGAGACTGACTGGCCACAAAAACTGTTGCAGAAGAGAAGACTTTGTAGAGCTAAACTTGGGTTTAGCAAATTCACAGTAAGTTAACATGGTATTAAACACCCCCCACCC